AGCATTCTACTTGGCTGGCATCTCGCTCTCACCCTTTCACTGTCGAAACTATTAAATGTAGCCGTCTCTTCTACTCCAATAGCTTCATACCCTGCTCTTCTCGCTTGTGGAACCCCCCCTTTTCCTGTTTCCCTGATAGCTATAACCTCCAACTATTCAAATGTAATGTCAATCGATATCTCCAGATGCCTTGATCTATCCCCTATCCTTCTCTTCATCCTTTCCTCTATCACTCCTATTTGCTCTTGCTCCAACTCTCTGTAACCCCTTGTGTGCTAATGGCTTCCCGCCTTGCTTGGGTTGAAACGCTTAAAAAAAAAACACCAAATAGCTGTAACATGAGGGTAAGTGGATAAATCAGGCGTGGCTGACCACATATGGAGAGAAAATGGAAATCACCGCTCTCTGTGGGATCAGGTTGAAATCATAGACAAAGAAAATCATTGTAAAATTTGTAAACTTAAGAAATCAGAACGTATGCTAAGCCACAAAAATCTCCTGAGCCGACCAAGCATAGAAATGAATACAATATGGGAACCAGTAATAAGGAGTACCAGAGTCAAAGCAATAACAGCAACGAAAATTGCAATATGAGCTCTGGTAAAAAAGGTTGCTGAAGACATTTGGTTTATAATACCCAGAAATTCATACACAGATATCCTCAAGGACACATGGCACAGTAGATAAAGGCGTTAGTTAGATCCAGTGACAGGACCCAAAGAGTGTGAGTTCAATACCTGGTTAAGGCGGTGGAGAACTTGGCGGGGCGAATTAACAGTTGATAACTGATAACTGACATCCATTAGACATTGCAACTAGAACAGTCTACCCCAGTGAGCGAAATAAAGGGTTCAGTTCGACATTCCGAGCACCTGAAGAGGGCCGGAGCGTACAACAGTTGAAACGTGCTGATAAATATGGCAACAAAGATGAGGACGATAGTCTGAACAATGTAAATAGTGTACATAATGCTTCATCTCAGAAACTCTTTTTTAACCCTTTGAGCCCTGATCACCCCTTTACCGGAGAATATTGCCCAACCACCGGCTGAACGGTAGGTGAACACTTGCGTCGTGTTTTGCTATTGGTTGTCTTATTTTGAAGAGCCAATCAGAAAAGCCGTAATATCCTGATGTCATCGAACGTTATACCAACATGTCTGCGCCTTTTTATTGCGTTTTGTGCATGTGTTTTGGATAAAAAAAAGATCGTTTTTATTATGAAGCGTGGAGAATCTCAACCTGGATTGTCAGGGAAGCAATCAGGAAGTTATATTTTTTGTAACTATTTTTATATCTACCGTGAAATATTGCATACTAATTATTTACGAATTTCAAGTCAGGTGCTCAGGCAGATAAGTTAGAATTATTTAGGAACGCAAGGCTCAAAGGATTAATGAATTTCTACCTGTAATATTGTGGGTTACCTAAATACATCACATGCCATATTTTAGAGGAACATTTAGACCATTGACCCTTGTATCTAATTCTTGATCGCTCATCGATCCACCACAGACATGTACAAATAATAATTTAAAAAATATATAAATTATTTTAATGGATCTGATACTTGTCGCTTCGCTGATGGCAAGACGGTCAAATTTCAAATCTAACTTATTGGTCTATTTAAACTACTACGTTTATCAGTAAAGATATTCATTTTAAATAAAGAAAGAGATAAAAACTACCTGAAAAGGGCGGTACATTTCAGATTAAACTCGCTTCCTATTACCCGACAAATGCCCATTTCGATTTCATTGTGTATACGTAGGTAGATTTTAATTCAATGGCAGACCTAAACATTTCTTTACAAAAAATATTATATATATATATATATATATATATATATATATATATATATGATGGGGAAAAAAGTTTGTTCATTGTAGCACTCCAGTAAATATATTTCCCGCCCTGCTATGCTCTATCTTTACAAGAGCCAGGTAAGACCAAAAATGGAGTATGTCTGGACTGGAGCTGCTCCTTTCTCACTAGCTTGCCTTGATAGAAAAGTGTCTACTCGGCCTTGTGGGTGATGAATAGATTTTCCACAACCCTTTCTCTATAGACGAAACGTCTTGAACCTGTCGTTAGTCTATCGTTATTTCCATGACATGTGTTCTGACGAGCTACATTCCTTAAGTCCCACCATCCTGACCTTTACAGCTGGGACCCGCCATGCCACGTCCACAAGAATGAATCATCCCCATTCCCTTCATATTCCATTAGTAAGGAGGAAGTTCCACTCGGAAGAACTGCTGCTTTGTGGAACAGACATCCGACCGGATGTTTTCCCAATTATCATAATCTCGAACACTTCAAGTCTAGGGTTACTCGTTATCTTTTACGCTCATACAAATATATAGTAAGTCTTTAACTTGAGTGGCTCTTGGGCCTTGTATTGGGTTAATATTAGTATAAAAATGAACTACTGTCTAAAAGAAACGCAATTTTGAACATTCTTATCTCCTTTTGGCAGTCAAATGAATCAAAGTCAACATTTTGTTATTATGATTATTTTTATGAACCCAACAGAATTGTAATTAGAACTCGTTAACAGTAACCCTCTACCTTGAGTGGCTCTTGGACCTTGTATTGAGTGAACATTAGTATGAAAACGATTTCGCGCTCTATCAAGGCTGGAAAGGGGACATAGATATCGCAGCAATACATTTTTGATTTCATGCTGGCTTTTTTCTTTAAAGACGAAGAAAAGTTTAAATCTCATTGACATCCTGGATCTTTAGTTTTGTTTGGTTGAAATAGGTTCTTCTTCTTCTTCTTCTTCTTCTCCTCCTCCTCCTCCTCCTCCTTCTTCTTCTTCTTCTTCAGAAATAAAACTATACTATTTTTTTTGTTTTTGGCTCTTCCTTTTCTTTCTTTGTATGTGCCATGTCCTTTCAGAATGTAGGTGGTCATGGCTCTCCACTCTTCCCTCTATCCTTTTCAGCTCTCAACAAGTTCCTTCCCTCTGCTATCTCCCCTACCCACCTTCTGTCATCCAACTGCTCAAGCCCACCAGGAATGTCATGTGCTGCTTTCCCTTGTCTCTCTCTTTCGCTATATTTGACCTGTGAGTATCAGATTCTTAAGGCCTTCCTTCCTCATTATGTGTCCCAGAAACTTGAGCTGCTTCTTCCTGATGTTCAGCATAAGCCTCCTTCTTGTCTGCAACCTCTCTAAGACCTCATCGTTGATCACACGCTCGATCCACGAAATCCTCAGCATCTTTCTGTAGAACCACATCTTCGTCACCTCAAGTGTCTTCTTCATCTTTGAGGAGACCGTCCATCATTTTCTGCCGTAAAGAAGGACAAATGTCACTTAACAGCTCAGAATTCTTTTCTTTGTTACCAAAGAGAATCCTCCTGTCTCGCAATACTCTGCCCAGCTTTTGGAATGCGTTCTTGGCTATCCTAATACGTTTACGGGTCTCGGTGTCAGCAGAATCATTGAACCAAGGTGACTTGTGGAATGGCTGAAGAGAAAAAGTTGAAAGTAGTGGGCGATATTTAGAAGACCGAAAAGAAGAAAAAATAAAAAATAAAAGAAGGAAAGAGAGTAAGTTAAAACTGTTACAAAGAATATGGGATGATGAGGAGGTGGAGGAAAAGAAAACGGATAAGGGAGTATTAAAAGAGTGAATAACCAGTGTAATAAGGAGAGATAAGAGAAGAATGCTCGTTACAAAAAAGGAATAAAAGATGGTAAAGAAAACAGAACGAATAAAGAAATCGCAGAAAGATGAAGACGAATAAAAAATAGTTGGGGTTGATGAAAAAAATTTAAAAAATGAAAATAAAATGAATAAATCAGAAAGAGAAATTCTGTACAATAAGGTTCTGAGTATAAGCATCAAATTGTAAAAAAAAAAAAAAAAAAATTCGGGAAGTGGGTCGGGCAGAGAACTTTTCAGCACCCATTCGTACGAATAAGAATGGGTGAAGAACGAGAGAAGAGAAGCAGTGACATAAAGATAAAAACAGGATGTAGGAGAAACGGTGGTAGAAAATATGTAAAAACTAAAAATAGCAAATATATACAGAGAGAAAACAAAATGGCAGCAGAGAAGAAGTAAGAAAGACTTGAAACTAGAAAGACTTGAAAAGAAAAGGTTTAAACGAGTAAATGACCTAAAAAGAAGGGCGGGATAGAAAGTAGCAACAAGGATTTTAATTCATAGTAGATAATGTGATAGAAGGGAAGGAAGGTTAAGGAAGATATTTCGGATAAAAAGAAGAAAACAGAATAATTTAGAAGGAGTGGAAATTGATGAAATACCATTGAATTCAAACTGGCAAAGAATATGAATGGAGGAAAGTGTTGTTTTTATAAGCTATAACTTAGGTCGGTATGATCTTGTGAAGCCAGCTGTGAATCGATAAAAAGGCAGACAGTTTATCTGAAGGTGACACACGCACATACAGTTGAAAGGAGAGTTATAAAATGACATAATTGAAATTATAAACTATTTGACAGAATCAATCGTTCTCTCTCGAACGTGTTTTATTTGCCGGCAAGGGCTTACGGCCATATTACATTGAAACATCGGTTCTTGTACGATCAGTGAAATTAAGCAACATCGAACCTGCTCAGCACCAAGATAGATGACCGTATCCGATTACCAGATGCGGCAAGCTTGGGTGTGCGGGTGGTGTATCGATAACGGCTTGGAATTGTCAATTGGAGAGCCACGTTCCAATTGAGTTCGTAAGATTCACTTACGCACAAATACCCTTAGGAAGGTATGAATCCACTTCTTCTCACACATCACTGTTACAAAAAAAAAAAAAAAATTTTACAATCTAAAAATATTTTCTGCCTTTAAATAACTTGAAAAGAGTCGATATGAATTCATGCCTTTCCCAAGGGCATTAGTGCGAAATGAATGTTACTGACGAGGCTGTAATTTGAACTCGTTTCGCCAATTCGCCCTTTCTGCGCCAATAACCGTTGCACTACTCACACATAATTTTAGTTTAATCTTGGAAACCTCTTGAGATGTTTCTGTGGCTTCAGTCGCAGGTGAATTTTTTTCGGAGATGATGTGCTATCCTGATGCTTAAGACAGCCGCATTGAAGAATTCCATTTGTCCAAATATTTCACCAAAAGTGTGACTCGTGAACTGGGCTCATGCCTTTATTTTCGAGTGTTAACTTATTTATAGTCCTGGGTATGACGAGAAACTACATCCGGCAGCAAGGAGATTGGAGGTTTTGAGGAGCGTGAAGCCACCTCTTAATTACTGTTGTTCCCAGGTCCACCCCGACCCGGGGTGGTAGTACCAGTTAGAGCCCCAGCTATGGGCAAACAGTAAACATCCAAACAAAAAGAAAAAAAGATAGATACTAATGCGGATCGTGCTGATGATATCATCGTAACGGATTTCTCTAGTGTTCTCTCTTACGGTTGCCCATAAGTTTCTTTTAGTTTTAAAAAGTGGTTTGTGTGATATTGACGAGCTGCCATTTTAATATGATTATATTTGAAATTTGATATTTAATGGTTGTAACATTCATTCTGTTAAATATTATTCCGTCCTGGGTAAGACGATAAACTGCATCCACGTCCTGTGTAAGACGATAAAATACATCTAAAAGTAAGGCCGGTGTTCTCAGGTCCACCATGACCCGCTGTGGCAGCACCTGTTAGAGTTCCAGCTATGGGTAAATAGTTAACCCCGAAACTGGGTTAAAATACTATGAAAGTGTAAAAATAGGTTTTAAAACCAGCAATATATTTTTTTTTGAAAATTATTATCAGCAATGAATTTTTAAAGAAAAATTAATATTACCAGTAATACATTTTTGGAAAAAAATATTACTAGCAATAAAAATCTTGCCATTAAATGAACCATCGTAAACTGAACCAAACTTAAACCTACCAAAAATTATAAACCAAATGAAGATGTCAAAATCAATTTCTCTACAAACTGTGTATCTGAAAAAGAATACATCAATGAAACCAGACTCTCATCAACAACCTTCTTTACAAAAGTACATCAACAGAACAGGATCGACACACTGTTTCCTTACAAAGAATATATATTCTATTGATACGAATCTATTGTAAAAATCTTGTCGGAATCAAATAACCCATTGAGGTTTTGATATGCTGTAAAGCAAAACAAACGAAATATTATTTTAAATATGCAGTGACCCTAATCAAATTCTCTTTCTAATGATAATGATAAAGTTTCGCTTTATTATACTTTTTTTTTTTTTAACTGAGACTTAAGATCCAACATGTGTGTTAAAATTAAAGATCAGCACCAGGGAGAAAGATAAATAATAACAAATGAAATACAGCTGTTTGTTGAATCCAATCTACTTAAATGCTTTCATATAACACTGTAGATCGTAAGCAGTAGTCGACACACACACACAAAAAGCTCAAAGTCTTCTGATAGCCAGATGGGGCGATTTGTGGTGTACAATTACATACCCATCTCATATCTGTAGAATATTAATAAATCGAGCTGCTCTTTGATGAATGCATGCTGCTTAGAGCTGGGTACGCCAAAAGCTGCAATTTTAGGATCCAATGAAGTCTTGGCAATAATCACAGGAGGTGGGGACACAATACGTGATACCAGTGTAGTCAACTTATCAGTCTAAATTTGGTCTGTACTAATTAGGTTACCCTCTTCCCTACTCAAGTAGTTGCGGCTTTCTCTCCTGTCTATAATTTAACCAGGTTTTTCTCTTCCCTTTCTCTTCCCTTTCTCTTCCCTTTCTCTTCCTTTTCTCTTCCCTTTCTCTTCCCTTTCTCCGCTTCTATCTCTTCATCTCGTCCCGTACTGATTCCTTTTTTTTTATTTCTTGTTTTTTCTTTACCTGTTTTTTTTTCTCACCCAAACTTATAATTGCCGTGCAATTTTTTTCACTTTGCATATTTTTTTTCGTGTTTTCATTTGTAGTTAACTGAGAAAATAAAATGAATATTGCAGACGATAATTAAAAATAGTAAAATTTGCAATACGGCAAAGTTAATCATTTAAAAAAAAAATACAAGATTAATATTTTAGAAACCAAGCTTTGTGTTTTTAAAGATACAAACTAATTATAGCAAAGTTAGCTGTCTAATTATTCGTGTTAAATACAAATATATTTGGGCAGACAATTTTCTTTATAAACACCTTCAATGAATGTGACAGACATAAGTTTTTTTTTATTAAGTTGTTCTTAAACATTTTCTTTTTGGAGGAACTAATGGAGTTCAAAAACTGTCCGTAATGATTAAACGCTTTCGACCAGTTCAGTAGACATTTTCAAGGGATCCGTTGTTAATATTTTTCAACGTTCGTGTCCAACGGGCTTCTTGGAAATGCCTACTGAATTGGCCGAAAGCGCTTGGGACAATAATTATTACGGACAGTTTCTGAACTCTATTAGTTCTTCCAAAAAGAAAACTTTTAAGAATATTAGAACGAGTTAGAATTAGTTGCTTTCTTGCCACCAACAATATTAAAAAAAATAAATTTAACGGCAATCGCCATATTTTGTCTTCAGGAAACCTGTTCATTTATTGTCCTTTGTCCTCACTAATATCTTATTTTCTTTCACTCTCGTTAACCCTTTGCGTCTTAGTGTCATTGTCGCCTTGCTATAATCCAAATTAACTAATGTATAGCAAAAGTTTAAATCACTAACCAAACACTGCATTTATTTTAAAATAAATTTATTCGCATAGATACCATGTTCATTTTTGTTTGTTTCACTGTTGTCCGTGTAAAAGATGGACGCCATGACAGTTTCATCTACAGGGTGGTCCGAAAGTCTTGCCATCCTCTACATAATATAATTTTCTATTTCAGATGACTGACACGAGCTCCTATAATTTAGAAGAGAGACAATACTTTTAGACCACTCTGTATATTGTCAGGGTAGTTGAAGCCATCGTCCAGTTCCTTTGTGTCTAGTATTTACATTAGTCGGACTATTGTCCTCATCTTTGTCGCCATATTTGTCACAACGTTTCGGCCGTTGTACGCTCCGGCCTTCTTCAGGTGGTTGGAATTTCGAACTGAACCCTTTATTTCGATCGCTGGGGTAGACTGTTCTAATTCCACGTGCCATGTTTGATGGATGTCAGTTATCAGTTATCAAGGACACATGGCACAGTGGATAAAGGCGTTGGTTAGATCCAGTGACAGACCCAAAGAAGGTGAGTTCAATTCCTGGTTAAGGCAGTGGAGAACTTTCAGAGGGTAAATTAGCAGGAGATAACTGATAACTGACATCCATCAAAACATGGCACGTGGAATTAGAACAGTCTACCCCAGCGATCGAAATAAAGGGTTCAGTTCGAAATTCCAACCACCTGAAGAAGGCCGGAGCGTACAACGGCCGAAACGTTGTGACAAATATGGCGACAAAGATGAGGACAATAGTCCGACTAATGTAAATACTGTACATAATACCTCATCTCAGAAATATAGACAAACTCCTTTGTGTCTGTTTAAAAAAGAATGTTATCTTCAGTAACAGCCATTTCGTTTGTAGTACAGTATTTTGTATGTTTTTAGTTTAAATGACTGCCACGATTTTTTTTAAGCATGCCATACCAAGCTTTCAATATCCATGTATACAGGACGGAAACCTCTGGTCGGCGCATGTTACACTTTTTGTTAACATGCCCTTGCATTTGTTCGAAATACTGTGTGTTTGAAGATGTCATGTAAACTATATCAAACTATATCAATTCGAATTTTTAGTCTCTATGAACCGAATAAAAAATTGAACAAATATAAAATTTAGTTGGTGCAATTTCTAAAATATCTGTGCATATTATGCATCAGACATTTTTTTTTCTTTCGAACATTCACATAGTTAGGTCAAATACAGAAATATAGTAACTATATATCTGCATTGCGTTAGACTGATGGAAGGTTTGGCTGTCGAGACATTCTCGTAAAATTATATCACGTTTAATCGTATAAATGTAAAAAGAATTCTCATATTACAAATGTCTTCCAAGTGGTTCATGATATAACCTTCTATAAACATATCTTTAGAGAATATTTGGTCTGAAAAATTTTGAAGGGGTTAAAATTTGGCTTTGTGAAAAATAAATAAATAAAACAGAAAAAAAAATTAAACTAGTTCGTAAGACGTAGAAAGCAGATAAAGTGTTAATCTAAAACTGTTATATTCCAGAAATTGTTCCCCACACCCGCCAATTAGAGTTTCATTTTATGAAGGCAGTTTCCAGAGGACGAGAAATAGTCTAAAAACAGGAAGATTTCTAATGACTTCTAGGCGCACTGTTACATCCGGCTGCTACTCAGACTATTAAGCTGACTATCACGTGGACTGACTACTCGATACGCTCTCTTCATTTATACCACACACGTTATAGCAGATACAAAGTGAACGCAAATATTTAACAGAAAAACGGCTCAGTTTTAAAGTATGCTATACTAATATAATTTTTTTTTAATTATGCTTAAAAGCTGAGACTTTTCTAATTGATATGTTTCAAAGCCTGTTTAATTTTTTAACTTCTTCGTAAATTATAAGTTAATTACATTTTAAGTCATTATTAATAATTTTTCATCTGAAACAAATTAATAGAACGTGTTCTAATAATGTTCCGCTATAATTTGTTTACAAAATCTTAATTCATACAGATTTTTAACGACCTAAACTGTCTTCGAAAATCTACCTAAGTAGGAGACAAAGGTAGACAATCAAATTCTGTCCTTATGAAAAGTTTAAAAATTACTTTTCCACTTTAATAAAAGAAGGCCCACAATATAGTGAATGATTTGAGTTTTAGTTATTTTATGATCTCTCCCAGGCTTGTTTTATTTTAATCATTTCACCTCAAGTAAGGCAATAAAGCCACAAAGACGCAAGCTGTTAACGAGTATGAGAGGATAAAAGAAAAAAGCATTACGGAGAGAGAACAATAAAAGAACAGGAATTAAGAAGACATAAGATAAACAGTGACATTGCATTAAAATTTTTAAAGTTGACTGGAAACCAAGAAACCGGAAGTGAGTTCCACAAGCGAGAAGTGTGATAGAAGAAACCATTAGAAATGAAGAAAACTATAAACTTAAATGCTTATTTCATTTTAAAATTTGGCGCAGCATAATCTTCCTAAACAATTATAGGTAACCGCTTTAAAATACCAGGTTCTGTAAGCTTGGATGTGTGGGTGGTGTAATGTATAATGGCTCGGAATTGTTAATCGGAGAGCCGAGTTCCAATTTCAGTTGTGTTTGTTATGTTCACTTACGCGCAAATACCCTTGGGAAAGGCATGAATCCATGTCTTCTCCTCCCAACTATGGGTTAATTAGTGTAAGCTGTATCACTAAACTATTATTATGTCAACAAAATTGATAATATCTAAAAATATTTTCTGGCGTTAAATAGCCTACAAAGGGCTGATAAGTCATAGAAGACGAATCAATAAAAGTCTTGCCTTCAGTATGTCCTGTGAGTGTCAAATTCTTCAAGCCCTCTTTTCTCATAATGAAATTTCAACTGTTTCTTTCTGATTCAAAGTTTATGAGTCCTTTCTTTTTTTATCTTTCTTAGACACTTCATCTTTGTTTGCATAATTCGTCTACGGTATTTTCAGCGTCCTGAAGGGCAACAGATTCATTGTCTCCAGTCTCGTCTTTAGAAGTGAGGAAATTGTCCAGTATTCTTAGCATAGTTGTGGCAAACAGTATAGCTTAGATTGGCACAACCTAGAGAGGATCGAACTCGCTACTCAGTTGGAATAGTCAACCAGACTAGATCGTTAAACATAATCCCACGCCGAGGTATTGATAGCGAAAATACAGAGTGAGTCAAAATTGTTAACACTAGTATGAGAGGAATCATTTATTCAGAGTTTACTGATCAGTCTCCACCTGTCCACCAGCACAATTGATGCACAAAAACCATATTTCTTTACAACTCCAATGGTGACTACAAATGCTTACTTACAAATGCTGCAAGGGTTTGCCATTGATAACATACCCCATACAAATCAGACGAGCAGGGTGGTTCACCGCCGTACTGTTGGCGCTTGTCTCGGTCAAAGTTTCCAAAATCTTTGGATACGTCGCGGCAGACTGTAGGCATGGCCACCACACTCCCCCTGATCTGACACCCTGTGACTTCTGGTTACTGAGTATGATAAAGCATCGTGTGTATAATAAAAAAGTTAGAGACATCAAAGAAGTCAAGAACAGAATAAAAGGTGTAGTGAACCATCCCTGTCCCCCACCATTAGAATGTTTGACGCTCAACTCCAAGAGAGCACCTCTTTGCGAGAGCTCGGTTTCATATTTGCTGCTGACCTGAGATGGAACAAATACATTGAGTCAATAGCTTCGTCCACCGCAAGGAAAGTTGGCCTCCCTGTGCCGCTCCAGGAAATTTTTCTCGCTGGAGTCGATCCTTCAAATCTACAAATCAACCATTCGCCCTTGCATGGAGTATTGCTGCCATATATGGTCTGGAGCCCGTTCTGTTTGTCTCAAGGTTCTTGATAAGATCCAGAGACGGATATGCAATGTAATTGGCCCTGATCTGGCATCTCGTCTGCAGTCGCCTCCCTCTGTCTTTTTTTACAAATATTTTCATGGTAACTGGTCCGATGAGCTGCTTTCGCTGGTTCCCAGACATCATGAATTCAAGCGCCCTACGAGGCTGGCATCTCGCTCTCACCCTTTCACTGTTTAAACTGTTAAATGTAGCCGTCTCTTCTATTCCAATAGCTTCATATCTCGCACCTCTCGCCTGTGGAACTCCCCCCCTCTTCCTGTTTCCCTGATAGCTATAATCTCCAACTA